GTAACAGAAGCAACAGTACGTTACAAATCACTTTCGAGTCTTATTTCAAAGCGGTTCTGTAACCATATGAAGCCTGATTGCTCCCTTTCGATACAAACGAAAGATTGTTGAAAAAAGGACTACTTCTCGGCTGGGACCAGAAACATGCCAGGTGGACTGTAGCCAATACTGTCACTGCAGTTTGATCACTCCCTTTAAAACGCAAAGATGTTGACACATACGTGACCTCTTGCCTGGCTTCGACTTTTAGCATTTTTGTTGCCATATGAAGCTTGATCAGTCTGATATCTCCCTTTAAAACCCAAGAATGTTGACACATGCGTGACTTCTCGGCTTCGCATTCAACACAGTGTCCTTGAGCGTGCTTTACTATTCACTACTCTGTTGTGTTTTGCCAAAAGTTCCGCTCTGCTTCATATAGAATGCCATTTGGCCATTCTACACCCAATCCCTAAATTGCACAAAATCTCTCGTTTCGGATATCATCAATTTCGAAATCATTTGATGTGCTTCCTTTCGTTGCCAATTTGGCATTGTACATGACATTATATCCTTTCAGTGATTTATACCGCGTCAGCTCAGGTATATTGAGTATCAAGAAGAAAATGATTGTTGAACAAACATATCATTCTCGTTATCGTACTTAAAACGATTCAATAAATATTACTTTCCGGTGCTAGAAATAGAATGCAACGATTTTTTTTTCTCAGCCTATAAAGCTATTCTTAATCTCCTTCTTTTCCTTTCCTAGTATTTCGGGGGGGGGGGGGCGTTCTCTATGTTTAATCGTATTCATGTAGATGACATTCCAGTAGGTCCTATTATTTCATGGTGCTGTTATACAGTGAAGGAGTTGACGAAACTTATCAGATGTAATATGAATAGGTCTCTTCTCCTACCTCTTTTGCGGATGCAGTACCGAAATAAGTTGACGAGGGAAATAATTTCATGGCGGAATGTTCCTTGATTTGACTCAAAATTATCAACGGCGTTAAACTTGTCCAACTCCACCTCAGCTCTACAACGCCACCCCAATGTCTCGACCTCCACAACTCTCCCATCCCCTATGCAAGGCTTATCCGACTCCCAGTGGGGAGGGTTTGCCCCCAAAACTGACCGGCACAGCTGGCTTACCATGGTAGGACATACTGCGAGGGGCCAGAATGAGGGACAAAAATCGACAGAATACATATGAATAGGCACATACATTGTGTCAGATCACGCAATAATAATCATCTCCATTCAAAATACCGTCATCATCGTTATCTCATTCGTCTGATTAAATACATGGCATGAAGTATTACCATGGGACTCACAGTAAAAGCAAACCATCTCTTGGTCAATAACCCTATAGATATGCTTGTCTGTATCGCAGATAAAAGAATTACTCGTGATAACTTCTTGCAGATACCATCTAACGATTGCCTCTTAACACATACCCTAGACAACTATTCCTGTAGGGCAATTACAACCAGGGATATATGCATCTTCATATTATTTAATAAATTAGATTTGTGGTAATTAAATTATCAGGAGGTGGAGGTAAGCTGTCCTGTTCGTGTTGTGTATATTCCTAGCAGGCAGTTGTCCGGTGATAGGTGTTCGGTGATAGTATGGGCCTAGTCCACTCCAGGAATAATTTGCTTTTAATTTGCTTTTAATTAATGCAGAAAAACATGAGAAACAGAGCAAACTAAATCTGAGTAAAATCAGATAACTAATAAGAAAGTTATGATTTGTTTTGGAGTGGACTTGCCATTTAATTCCACAAGAAGTTTGTTTTAGGTATTAATTTCGACGTTTCATATGATCAAAGTCATTCTTTGAGAGGGCTCTTATAAGAGTCCGCCTTTTCTTATTGATTTGTGGTTTGAGAAATTAGCTGTTTCTAAGTGTTCAGTCTATCACTTTTCTTTACTGGCACCGCTCTGCTGTTGACTAATCATGGTGAAAACTAGATCAATAATCGAACCTTCATCGTAACTAGCTATTTTCCATCTCACAAAGCAAATCAAATCATCAATTATAGTTTCTAGTCTGACTTTATAATTTCCCTCGCTTTAGTTCCCCTTTCAAAAAGTTTCCGACAATAATAATACCTGACACTCAGGTATTTTAATCGAAAACTTTCAAGAACACATTCCAATACATCAAATAATTTCAGATTTGACATTCAGGGACTGTATATACTGTTTGGTAGATTAAGAACGTCGTTATAATGTTGAAGAAGGATTAAGTGAACAAACTAGATGACATAATCTGAATTGCTTTTATCAATTGACAAATCGAACATTTCAATGACCAATGCATTGTGGTGTGTAATGGGTTATAGGTCTGAGGGGAGATGAGGTCCTTTTATTGTTGGGATTAATCAAATTAAATTGATATAGGTAGAGGAGTTTACCGAAAAAACAGACATAGGGGAAATCATACATGTATAAGAGTTACAGGGTAGTATAATAGGGGGTTCAAATGAGTTTAGGAGAAACGTGCGATTTGAAGAAAAAGAAACACATGATAATCTGGGTGGCATAACTTTGCAATTATTTCTCTAGTAATAATGTCATTTTCCTTACCGAGCCTTGATCGTTTTCTTGATAATTTGGGAATGTTTTTTTCTTAGATTGATAGCCAAAGCAGTTCTATTGCAACCATGACATTATCAAAATGTCAACCAATAACGACTGTTTGAAGGCAATGTGCAAGAAAGGTAACTTTAGTCGAAATAATCACACATTATTAGAATTTGTTTCGAATAATATTAATGATTATGACTTGAACCACACCTAAACCAGATAGTCAAGAATCTTTGGCGTAATATTCAAAATGGAATGTATAAATATACCAAATCAACAAGAACAATATTGGTTATACAAAATATATTCGTGTAGGCCAGATAGTTCACAGATTCAGCTTGTGACTGCCGTTTGTAGCTAGTTGACAAATCAAGTAAGCGCTACCCTGCACCGAACCCATTAGCGGGGATTAGGTTAATAAGGCGATCAGCAGCTCCTAGTTATAATCCACTTCCTAATCCTAATCCGCATTCAATTTTGAAGGCAAAATGCCATCCGGATGTATTGCAATTTATTTCTTTTTTCCGCTTGCTGAGTCTAAAGAAGGGGGACTCGAGTGTGAAAAGCCCAAATAATCTGCGGTGTGTCCCGACTGAACCAACTTGACATGGTTTTCATTATGCTCAGCTAGTACCTTGTTTTAATTACCGTTCATTGATGCTATTGATAAGATGAATCCCCAATTAACAATGTTCAAAACATCCTATTGATAATTTCCTGTGCGCTAACAAGGCTGTCACTGATTAAGTGTAAATTGCTTCCGAATTCGTCGTTAGATTGATGTTTATTACGGAAACGGGGTCGTTAGCACCAGTGCTTATCTGTTTATCTGAGTTCAATTTATTAATGACCGCTCTCCATTTAAAACCTAATTAATATGATTGATTAAAATAACAAGGACGGTCAGCAGATGACGGTTATCCCTGTATGAAAACTGTTTTGTTGTGTTTTTCTTTTATTTTCATTTTGGTCTTGCACCTGGCTGATACGACTTTTCGAAATATAAATGTTGAAATATCAGCGAACATCTAGGAACATCAGGCCTTGGCCCTGAAATATTTTTACGATGTAACTAGTTCAAATAATTTTCGTCGCATACAGCATTTGGACATAGATGAATTTAGTGACAGCACCTCTTTGAAATGGAAAAGTGTGTTGAAAATAAGAATAAGAAGTGGGGTTCGTGTGCCATTCATTCTCTGGTAGACTGCAACATTATGTGGGAGAGCGCCCTCTACAAAACAAAACCGGTCAGTATAGAAATGAAAGAACGGGGAGGCAGCGATGAGATAAAGTGTAGTGGGGCTGGGGAGGGGTAGGGATGGTTAATTATGTTTCCATTTCAGCTCCAATATTGGTTATCTAGCCTATCTATAGGGTAAAATGTGGTCGAGTAATATTGAGAGGATTCAGGGTCGACGGATTCTAAATACTAAAACCCAAACATCATTGAAAATTCAAATGACAAATTATGACAACATACCAAAAATGTGAAAACGGTGACTAAAAGGTCACGAACAAAACTGGTTTCAGCACCCTCACATTACTGATTGATATGATTTGAGTGATGATTTTGAAATGATAATGGATAGGATTGTGACAGGTTATTATTAAAAGTGAAAGAGATTTATTGTGTAAGTTGTAACTCCTGATCAGCTTATTAATGTCTTATTTTAGATTTAGGTACATTTAATTTCATCACATTCGAACCTCTAACGGATAATTGATATTGAACAATAGACGACATATTTTATTATTTCGGAAACAAGCACGATCAAGGTTAAAAATCGCTCCTGACACACTCCCAGTATAAATGGTGACGTTAGTTCATCATACACGGCTTCGTTTCGCAGTTCATTTGGAGGGTATTCTTTTCTCCAGTGTACTGTACATGCGTGTGCAATGTATATGCTCATTCTCCGTCACTCTCTCTCTCTCTCTCTCTCTATCTACCTCTCTCTCCTCCTCCACTGTCACTTTCCCATCCCCACACTCCGCAATGACCGCTGAAACCAAACTCATGCATGCTATGGGTTGGTTGGTTGGTTGGTTGGTTGGTTTGGGATGGGGCCCGGTCCCGACAGAGTGAGTGATGGTAAACACGATGACATGGGCAGCGTTTGTTTTTGATAAACGGGGTAGAGCGGAACTTCGATAACACCGGAAATGTCTGATCCCCGGGAGATTACGGCGTCGCAAATCATTCGCAACCTACCATCCTTCGAAAGGGCCTGGAATGATCCATCATCGCCGCGAGGGGGTGGCCCTTGTTGCCTTGATTTTTGCAGAGCTGTGAGGGGTAGAGTCAGACCGGATATTATCTCTACATCATCACGTATAAGTAGGCAGCTTTGGCTGTCAAGCTCTTAAAAAACCAGGCCAATCCGTCTTGGATTCGGATGGAGGGAGAGCGACCAGAGGGTATTGTTTCAAACCGGAAATCACTTGATTAGCTGGTATGTGAATGATAATCCCGCATGTGAGCATGCGCTCGAGATACGCAGGCTACCCACCCCTCCATTGAAGGTGAGCTCGCCCGCACACTATTTGCACGCCCCTGTATTTGCATATGAACGGAATTCATGCCGTGACTTCGAGCAGCCGAACTGCGAGGGATATGTGACTGGGTGAAAAGAATTCGGGGCCCCCCGTGTACCGGTAAATAAAGCATACGGGAGTATTATAGCACTTGGCCTGCACGACCGTACACAGGAACTAGCAATTTCCGCTCTGTTCCCTTGAGCAACTCAGTACGATCGCCGTTTGTAGCCTGCACACACGGCCAACTTGGACGCTATATGACTGCAGTTACTCGTTGGAACTACTTACTGGAATATACTGTTAGCCAATTTCTGTGGAATATTTCATGTTGTTGTGATTATGTTAGCTGGACAATGACTGGAGTGGAATATGAATGGCGAATGCGTTCGATTATTCGTCCTGGAATAGCAGAATAGAAGCGTAAGTATTACTAAAGCTGCCGAAATGAAGGGGTCGAAATAAAGTTGTGGGTCCCCAGCACCACCGCGGAGCGGGCGGATGCCCATTGAAATACAAGCTTAGGCCTGCTTTGCATTTGTGTGCCTTGTACTAGGCTTACCAGAAGAAGAAAAAAAAAATGGAAAAGAGGAAAAGGGTTGCATGCGCGGATTCGTTTACTGCAGGTGCATATTAAGCCGTGTTTCCTCAACTACGAGCCTCCCAATATTATTGGTTACAAGTATATGGAGATATGAACAAGATTTGTAGTTGTTCAAAATGTTCAAAATGAAATTAAATTTTACTTCGCACATGTGACCTTCTGATTTCTGGTTACCCTACCTTCCAAATGATGCCAAATATTTCAAACCCATCATTTGACATGGTACATGTGTTTATGTTGTCTGTAAATGAACTATGTATCATTTCTTTTTAGTGGATGTTTGTATCCCATCCCAAAGGGGGTGACTTGGGTGAACACTTAACAACAATTATAACCATTAGTATATTATGGTGATAATTGAATTGGAGGTGTGAAGATATTAAATGGTATTTAGCTATTCAAGAATCATAAAAAGATATCTCATAGACGGTAATGTGTATTTATTGAGCAACTTATACATGAAGTATGTGTTTCTCTTGCCATGGCTGTGTTTATATCCCACATGTGTTGAATATCCATAAATTGCAATTCAATTTGTAGTTTTGTAGTACATATTTGTACCAAAATGATTCAGTTCATGTCATGATACGTGTGTTTCAAAACTAAACATCCCAAATGAACGCGAATATTCAGGAATATTTTAATTTAAAAATTGTAAGAAATGCATGTAATTCTTGTCTATATTACATAATTTAGACAATTCTGACGGCCTTGACAGGAATACTTTCATGAAAGAAAATTGTTTAAAATGTATTAAATTGTGAAAGCAAATGTCTCATTAGTAACAGAATGCACTGCATAATTCCGTTCAGTTAGAATCAAGATAGTTTCGCTGGTACTTTTGAAAACTTTACCAATATTTTTGGAGGCAACCAGGTGTGATTTCCTCACAAAAACGGTCACATCACAACCAGTACTTCCTATTTCCCAAATCCTGTCCCATCACAAACCCATCCCAAGAAAATTATCTTTGAGGTTTTTGTCCGCCGTCGCCGCAAGTACAGCATCTATAGCCAACAGCAGGAGCAGCTGAAAACCCCCACAGGCGATCATAAATCGGCAGCCATGTCATACCCCTAGCCCCCCTTGGGGGATACGACCGATCATAATGCACCGCTGTGCACGTGGCCCGGCCCCCGACTCTTCAACCCGATCTTCCCGATCCCATGGCCATGCCATTCTGACGTCGTTGGTTCGGTTTCCAGCAGTCACACCGTTTTATATGGAACACGAAGAAAACCCAAGAAAATGAACACGTTGGCAACTTTTTCACCTTCTGTTTTAGGTTGTACACTCTTTTGCAGTATACACTGGCAGTCATTTTCTCTTCCGTTTCTTGTTTTTTTTTTGTGGGGTGGTTTCCGTTTTCGTTGGCATTTCATGATTTAAACCACTGTGAAAAACATTTGTAGTTTGGACACGAACGTCGGACGCAAATAATGTTCCATGACGTATTGTAAACATCATAATGATTAATGGTCCATGTTCATGATGAGCTTTGTTTGTACGCACTGTTATTTATTGTCACAAGCGATTGGCTAGTCACATACTTATTTTATATATGGAGACAAATACCAGTTCATTCTCTGAAATGTTGGGATCGAAATGTGAACCCAATTGATAATTATGTGAATCTATCAATGTATCAGTCAGATTATTATCGTTAAAAAACGACGAAAAGGGTCCTTCCTATGTGTATGTCGTGTGGCTAGATACCGTGAATCCAACGAATAAATTAGCCTATATGATGCACATTGTGTATGCCTCTTTCGCGCATGTTTCTACCACTATCAGTCGCAATGCGACTGATACTCGCATTATTCGCAAACGTACATAACTGTTTGGAGATAAATACCACTTCGACCTCGTAATATAAGGTCTGACTGTGGTTTCATGATTGCATCGGGGATTTGAAAGATTTTTTTTATAGTTGTAATATGTCAGGATAAACGGTCCTTTCACTGTACTGCATGTGTCGCAATGGCACAGTACATAAACCTTTGATTTATGACCCCCTCATACACGATGTTAATGATCCACAATGTCTACAACTTACATCATTTGGTGTTTTTAAAGTGAGAAGTTCGCCTTTTGCATTCACCAAGTTAAGGAATTATGAAGCTTACACAAACGTGGTGATTTAGAGTCAGAAGTATTAAATATAGGCATATTATTTACGTGACTTCGATACGATACACTGTAACACTTTCCTTCTTTGTTAAGAAGTTTGCCCTAAAACTCATAGTTTTCATCAGATAACACGGGCGTGTTGAAAGTTTGAACTAACAACAAGGTCTATAACTCTACATACTGCGGAGTGTAATTTCACGTGGGGTTATAGCCGTCCACGAGACGAGACGAGAGCTTATTCAATACTTTACAGACTAATCAAAAATACAAGCCCCTTGCGATGCCCATAAATAATTATTGCTTCTTCAATGTAAACCCCATTTCAATTTGAACGCATTCAATTCGCTTGGCCTCTATGGCGGATTAACTCAATTTCTTAGGGTTTATCGTGTGCGAGACCCCCTTTTCACAAGTGGGGTTTAAAAAACACGGTTTAAAAGACTCTATTCCATTATTGAGCCGAACTAAACGGGCCCCGTCAAGCGGCCAGGCGATCAGTGGAGGCAGTGATGGGCAAGACATTGACAGGAAAAACGATGTCCATTGTTGCGGAATTCACCTTGAATCAAGACTCTGAAGAAAGTCCCTCCAAAGAAAAGAAGAAATCATCGATTAGGCCATTGTTCTGCCATTGAACGGGAAGAGTTTATAGAACGGTCGGGTATTGTACCACTCTCGATCTTCATCAATTAGGTTTTCCTTGGCTTTCTATGGGTCGATACAGGAGATAGACAGAATAACAGGTTATAATGCCATGTTTTAAACCTATACTAGGAGGTCCACTTAACACCCTTTGTTCTCAGACATCCGGTGGGGATGTTGCGGGGAGGCTGCGCAAGGTGATTAGAGGGGTAGCATGAAGGGGGGGGGGGGGGGGTAATAGATAACGCTACAATAGTCTTGATATAGAACCTGTATTTGGTCTTGAAAACTAAGCTGGGGAATGAATACCGATAAAGTTAACTGCATCGTGTGCATACACTGGAACTTGGCTCATTTAGCTGACGAATATAATGTTTGCCTTAGCATTAGTGTATTGCAATACATCAAAATGGGATATATTCTAACTAGATTTTACTTACCGGAATGTAAACACGAGTAAATGAAACCTGAAATTGGACTGATCTATGGTATTTATTGCGATACTATTAAAGCTAGTCTCCTATCTCATTGTACGGCAGACAATTATCAGATGTTCGCCTGCAGGCTTGGCAGCGGCATTATTGGTATGCTACAACAAATCTAACCTGTATGCCTTTTACACTTCATTTACGATACATGTGTGTGTGTAGAACATGCGAAACACCAGTACTGCAGCAGAATCAGAAGTGCCTAAAGTCAGTTAGTGGCACTGGCAGTATATTGGCAATAAAACATGTCTGCGATTAAAACTTGAAATGGGACTGATCTGGGATATACATTGTAATATTGAAACCAATTTTGAACTTTATTGTATGGCAGACAAATATAAATTTATGTTCACCCGCCGGTTGCAACATTCGTATACCGTATACCAGAGACATGCCATAACACAATCCCTGATACTACACACATCTTAATTTGTATGCCTATTTAATAACGCTGCATTTACGTTGTAGTGAAGTATAAGTAGAATGAGGGAAAACCACAGGAGAATCAGAATTGAATCAAATCGTGCACAGAGTCAGCTAGTGGCACTGGTAGTAGGTTGGTAATAACATGTCTGCGATTAAAACGTGGCCTTGCGTGACCAATTGATATGAATATTAAATTAGCTGCGATGAATTTTCATATTCCACATCAGAATGATCCAATACACTTAAGCCATGGAGAATAAGGCAGTCAGTGGCCAGAACTCCGTCTCTACAAGGCTCTAGGCTCTACCCATTGCAATTTAGACTACCAAAGTTCAGCTCTCCACTTTTTCCCCTCACTGTGACATTGTCAGTTATAGAGGGCTTTCATGTGTTTTTCAGACTCGGGAGTTGATGTAGAACATTTAGAATCAATTGTATACATTTTTCCTGTTTGTGATATATTTTTATGTCGATTGCATCCATCATGAAAGTGTAATATTAAATTGGATTACATTACGAAAATGGTCATGAACTTACATTCTAATGTGGGGGAGGTGACGTTATATAAAAAGTAAATTAAATCGCTCGGAAGTTGGAAAGCTAGTTTGATCCTATACTGGGGTTTCCGAATATAAACGGGAAGGTGAAAAGTATGCCCATCTGAGCTAGACGAACTTTTTGGCATAGACTTGTGCGAGTAGGAGTACTTACATTACATGTTTAGATCTCGTTGCATTTACGAGGTTTACAAAGTCCATCCGTTCTAAACATAATTTGGAAACGAACTGCATGCACGAAACCATTTACTGCCGACGTGACAATCGCACCCTTTTTTCCGTTTCCCGGTTGTAAGAAAGTAAGCATTTGTCTCTGTCTGGGGACAGTGTGGTGCCCATTGGACATATGGGACAACGATGGTGATTCTCCCTCTCTCTCTCTCTCTCTCTCTCTCTCCCATTTTCTCTCCTTTTCTCTTTCCTTATGCTTGGCAATCCTGATTGGTTTCCCAGCTTCATGTATGTCTTCAGCTTCTAGGCTCTCACCAAGTTCACACCGGATGTGTTGTCTGAGTGCATATTTCTTTCCCGTAACCTTGTTTATACAAACTCCAGTTTCCCCAGATATTTTTTTCTCCAGTGGGGGTATTTTGCCGAGATTGAGGGGTACAATTCACCCCCTCCGTTTTTAGTTTTAGTAGAAAAATGTGACAAAGATATTTTATAAATTACCAGATTTGTTATCTTTAAATCATTCGTAGTTACAAACTCTTAAAAAGAAAAAAAAACAACTAATCCGTTTCAATGGTTCAGATTGACTTTTTTTAGAATTTGATTGACGGATAAAAGAAGAATCATGCGTTCGGGGGTGATGTGCCTTTCGTGATTCGTACCTTAAAGGTTAATGCACCCATGTTTTCTGTCACCTCTCCAAGGTGTGCTTACTTCATCCACCTCGCCCCACCCCTAAGTACTACATTTGAAATATGGAACCAACTGTCGTGCACAACGCACTTTTTTGTGGATGACATTTGTAAAGAAGACGGGAAGAGTGGAGAGGGCCGAGTACTTGTGGCATATGATATCGAGATTATAGGGCAGATTTAAGTCGTCCTTGAATGGGAATTTCTGCCTTTCTTACGATCCGTTCCAAGATCCCAGAACATAATGTCAACAGGTGTAGAAGGTCTCAAGACCATATTTCGTTTCCGCACCTGTCGAAAAGCAAAGTCAGAGCACGTTCTTCGGCTGTACTTCCGACGAAATTTACCACATTTCTCAAATGAGGGAATCTTCAGTCATATTTAGGTTTAGGGTCGTGCAAGTAATTCTGATATGGTAGGCATTTCTAGCTGATTTATGAACCCTTTGTCTTTATCCGAGAACAATCTATGGCAAACTTGTGAATATTCATTTATTTTTTGCACTATCAAAGATCTATAATTATGTCGATTTGTACATCTGATGTTAGCTCATTCAAAACGTTCGCAAGTGTCTCGACACAGACTCCTAGTAGTTTACTACATCCCAGAGACTTCTCATGAGCTCCTGCATACACGAATAAAACATACTTTCTCGTCGTGCAATGCAGATATAAATTTGACAAAAGCAACAAACATGAGAAAGAGGAATTATTTACGGCTTCCTCCATACACATGTATGTCAGTGTGAACTCTGTGAGACCGAGTGTGCGTGTTTTCAAGTCATACATGTAATTTGATCGACGTTTATCACACGAACACTCGCCTCGGGCATTGCAAGCGAGCGAGCAAGCACATCAGTAATAAATCGTCCCTTTCCGGACCAAAACGAGTTTTTTTTTCTATTTTTTTTTTTTACCTAATCTGTTTTTCGCGTTTCTTTGTGCAGCGCTTCATAACAAACGCCTCGCTTATTCCACTGATAAGCGAGCAGCCAAATGTTCGTTGGGTCGTACTTTTAGGGATATTACACATGAAGATATAAACAGACATGCTTTGATTGCATTCTGTTATTTTCTTGCCGAATCTTTGGTAGTGAACCATTTAGTTTCTATATTTGCTTGCAAAGTTACGTGCCCAATTGCCCTTGCATCCGCTGGGACTTTTTGTTGATCGTGTTTTGGCGATTTGCCATTGTACTGGGTAGCTGTAGTAGACCGGGTTCTAATATTCACTCTGAACTTTCACAAAAAGAAATAATAACTTCGTAATCAAATCAATAATCAAATGTTACAAATTACCAGACTGTAAGTTTGGTTTATTCTGAGACTTTTACCAGGGACTTGGGTTTTACCAAGTATAATTTTGTAGTCATTTGTCGATAATTGTTTATGTGCTCCGTCCGCATTTCGAAACAAAAAGTTTGTTTCTTTGAACTCTACATCATAATTACATCAATTGAATTCATCCTACGTAAAGCTATGACTGCAAATGCAACATATACAATGGTTTGCTTATATTGCCAAAGATTTCCTGCAAGCTGTGGCTGATTATCTCGTACTACTCGTAGAAAGTATGTTACAATGCTTAGTTCAGTTCCATGGTTCCACCAACCCTCTAAGGGCAGAGCGTGTCCTTGATCTCTTGTTGTACATTTTTCCTTTCTTTCCTGTCCCGCCATTTCCTATTTCCCTCCGCTAGCCGTGGTCTGCTGGCTAGGGAAGGCCATTGGTCATCCCATTGGTCATCCGGCTTGTTGACCAAACACTTATCGCTCACTAATCCTTGGAATCTCTGGAATTTTTTCCTAGAGGAACGCCAAGAAGAATGCATGTCACAACAACATGCATGCGTGGATGCTATAGAAATGCATCATACAATGTGCCTATTTATGGACTAGGGGATGGGAAAAGGCAGACCATTTGCTGTTTTTAAATGCACGATTTGTGGCCTATATTTCCAGAGACCTACATGTTAGTAATGGGAAAACCTACATGCTCTTTATAAACTTGTTTAATGATTGTGTTAAAAAATGTTTATCATGTATCCACTTGCATCATATATCTCCAGTTCCCCACATGAAGTCATGATCCCCTGTCTCTGATATGCTGGTATGTGGGAAGTCTTAAACTTCTCTTAAACCATAATGTTGTGTGTAAATAAACATACCCTTAAACTTACCCCTAAGTAAAGCACTTCTCTAGACTAGTGAAGTAACACAAATATTTTTCTGTCTGCTTTCTCTACAGAGTTTATGGCGTACTGGGTTGCCACACGTTACATCCATGGCCCAAGATGGTGGAGATTTGGTAGTACGGCAGCCCACGTCTGTACACGGCTCGCCGCCAGGATCACGCCCTATCCTGCTACCGCCAGGCTGGCGTAATCGCAACCTTCTGGCTCTCAGGTCAGCGACAGGAGACGAGGCACGACCGAATGATTACGTGGACACCAACAATGATAGATTGAATGGTAGGAACAATAACGAATCACCGAATTCAAGATCAGCAGAGAACTCTGGAGATGAAGGACATCTAAGGACTGATCTAATTGTGGTCAGGGGACCTAAAGGTAAAGCAAAAGTACTCAGAGTTGTGAAATCAAAACCAGACGAGAAACCGAAAAGTAAAAGCGAACAGTCATCACCGACGACACCGACACATGGCGGTGATCTTCATGGGAAAGGAGACGAAAAACTAAGTAAGGATCCATTTCCTTGCCCTCAGTGCGGATGTTGTAGGTGTGAGAAGTGCAAAAACAGCAATAGACTACCAAGTACTTGGTGTTGCAACGGTAGGTGCGAATTCTCTCCGGAGTGTGTTCTGAACTGCTGTACGTGCATGACATGCGTGAAAAGCTTATTTTATCATTGTGCAAGAGAATCTGACACAGAATACGCCTACTGTACGGATGATCCCTGCTCGTGTAGGCCTCACCGACGCTGTGCTAGATGGACTTGCTTGAGTCTCTTGTCCTTATGCTTGCCTTGTTTATGTTGCTACCTACCTGGGCGAGGAGCACTCGAAGCCTACAGACAATGCCAATCTCAGGGAAGACAAGGATGCCAGTGCAGCAGATGGGAGAACGGTGAAGCGTACGACGCATTATGAGAGTAAGCAACACAGGATCACAATCAAAGTGTTAACTGCATGTTTGTTTTCATCAAGATGACAGTTAAAATTGAGAACAGTGCATCCTGCACAAGATTTGTGCAGTCTACGTTATGGATGATCCTCACTTCGTATCTTGTGGATATTATACTGATGTCATGGTCTTCGTGGACTACTGCTACGATTGGAAACCCGCACGATCCAGGAGAGCTACGGAATCGACCCTGGAACCATTGGAAGATTGTTCGGAGGAGTGCAGCTCAGGACGATGGAAGGTCAGCCATGATCTCTCTTCACATCTGCGAGATGTGGCTTGATAGGGTCAGTATTGACCACCGAACGGTTCCAGTGAGGTAAGGGTGGCAGGAGAGGCGAGGCTACGAGAGAGAGGTAGAAGACAAGAGTGCCTCTGGGCCTGGCTTCATGAAGCTTGCAGGAAGATGTCTCCAAGTGACTTGAAGACACTGCATGAGTCCCTTCATGATGGTATTTTTGTATTCTGTGCAGTCCCAACCAATGCAAGGTGGTCTGACTAGGTATAATCACAGCCCTAGCAGTATGTTGTCCAACAACAATTTAGTGAGGAGGTGGGATGTACATGTATCTCGAAATAGGTGCAATTAAGACATAAATGAGCCACTACAATATACACTGAAAATTTTGTTATACATGTAGTGTGCTAAATGTTAAAATTTATTATTATAGAGCTTCAAATACAAAAGTAATTTAAAAGAAAAGAGGAAAACAAGTTTGTACATTTTTTTTGTTTCTATTGATTTACAAGAACATCGATTAGTAGTTCTAAGGTGGTATGGAACAAACTTATGGAAGAAAAGAGCTTCTTCTGAAAGTGGTAGTCAGAATATGTACCTGTACTTTGTCACATCTCTATTTAATCTAATCGATGTACATTTTGCATAATGTATTGTGTTTATCTCAGAAGTCACACAGAAAACAGGTATTTTTTTGTTATAGTGTTCCAATGTATATTGGAATACATGATGTGCACAACATCATTATTAGGAGTTATTACTTTTTACATGGTTAACTGTAAGTGTAAGGCATCAAGTTGATTCTTTATAATTATGTCCCCAACTCTCCGTAATTCAGAAGAGACGAGTATCCCCAAACTAAATTACATGTATATGTATTTTGTTTAATTTTAAATGGACCAAAAAATGTAGAGGCAACGCATGTACAACGTAAGATAACGTAATGCAAGCGCTCCATGTCATTATGTGTTCAATTTGACACGAGATAGCACATCACCCATGATGGCCTATTAATATTTATGAACATTGTATGAGCTAGCTGGAGGCCAAAGTTGGACAAATGGGTAGAACAGATAGCGGTGAAGCCCTATCTCACCCAATGCTCTGTTTACGACTACACGGCGTACGCTTGTTATCTCTAATCGCACTTCTCTCGCGCGATCCCCATAGCCTTCGAACGCTTGATGCATGAGGAAGGAAAGATGGCGGGTTTTTCATTTCGGAGATCGCTTAGACTCGCTACCCTCTTCGTCTTGTGTGCTGTGTACATAAAACTGGTAACGCTTTTGGAGAAAAGATATTTTGTCTATTGGACGAGTTTGAGGCTCCATATTGTTCGAGGGGTCGTGGAGTGTTTGGTCAGGGACCAAAGAGTAAATAGGGCCCTTTCCACTAAGCATAAACCTTAGGCATTCAGCCAGGACTGAGTTGCCCAATTGTCTCTTATCTTTCTCATTTAGAATGATAACCAACGGATGTGCTTGTGTGTAGATGGTTGATAATATAGTGCCATGCGCATGTAATGGGGCTGTTCATTTTTTTGGAACGGTCTTGAAAATGTAGTGGATTTAATTCATTACATATACATGGACATTGAAACAAAAACTGAACGTAAAGAAAGATAAAGGGAATCTTCAAAGAAATTCCACACCAATACCATTTCAGCCACCCATTACTCATAAGTTATAGATGCCTACGATTTTTAAGTATGTGATTTCAAAATTTAGAGTACATGTTCATTTAACGATGCAGCCTGTATGCTAACGCTAGACACATCCGTTCCAAATTGAGTTTTTGAAAAGCTTTCGACGTGGTTTTAGTTCAGACTTCAGTCTAACCAGAGACATTCAATTGAAGTAGCCGATTAAAATTACACATTTGATACGCGACGGTGGTATATCAGTTCCAAACATGAAACCCTGGTGGATTTGAAAAGACGCCGTCTAGGCAGGGGTGCTTACGTAAGAGGCTCCAGCTCGACCAAACAGCCCACCCCTAAAGAAAAAAAAAGGGTGCATCTGAATATTTCATTCTTTCTATCTTCTTCTCCTCTCCCTGACTTTATCAAGTAGAGAGGAGGGGGTAGAGATGCCAAACCAATCACATTTCATCCGGCTTCTCTTTGTATATTCACAAGCGCTGTATTCTATCCAAGCCCGAGTCTGTATACTATTAGCGTCGTGTTTCTTCGACCAACATAAACCCAATGTCCCCTTTGTAATTCTCAATCTTAAACTCCCTTTTTAAAATAACCGTTTACCACTTTAAAATTGACTAAAGATGTGCATTTTCTGAGCGAGCTAGCCCAAGTTCTTTTTTCTGTTGACCTCTGTTTACCATGTTTGCTACCGCAGTCGCCTCCGTTCTCTTACCACTCCACACACGGCTGATTGGCCTTTACAGGGCCACAATCTCCGGATGGCCTGCAACGCTTAGCAAGCACACATCGCTTTTCTTCTCTCCCTCCCTCCCTCCCTCTATTCAATTTAGGCTTCCTCTCCGTCTTTATTCAAGCATAGATTGGCACACCTTTAGACCTCCGAAGCCCTATTGTTCCAGGTGCCTGCCTTTTTACCACTCTTTTTTCCGGTGAAGAACTAAGCCCCGCCGTTGCTTCCACTCGGCATGTAAGCAGGCCATTTCAATCAACCTTTCAAGTAGGACTAGGTTTATTTGCTTCTAGCCTTCAAGTAGTCCAGGACCAAGCCGTCTTGTAAGAATGGCTTCCTTTTAACATTAAGCTGCAATTGACATCATTATTCCAGCGGAATAATTCAAGCTTTTGTCGACAATTTGACTTTTTTGTGAGCAGCTCTGTGGCGTTAATTTGCGTTTTCACAAAACTAAATCACATGTATAAAGAACTACATGTAGGCATATCTGGCAATCCAGATGGACGCATTTGTAGGCCTTCAGTTTAGTAATTAACAAAAATTCGATTTTGACGGAACAATTCGTCAGCTGGCTTTTGCAACTGTTATGTTTAGAAAATCTCATTTGGGTGGATCGTGCAGTTGATGAATTTTTTAAAATATTCCTTTTAGGACTTGTGCTCTCAGTTAATAATTATTGCATCAAGCCAAGGTCCGTGATGGCAAGTACCAAATTCACAATCAACTCCCCCTTTTTTTTCTTTGCCCCTCTTTTTTCCATTTGTTTTCTTCTAAGTTCTAACCACCGGAACGCTGCTCCAGTGAATAACCATTTCCCTTCTCCTTTTTGCTCACCATTCAACCAGAATTCCGCAGGTCTTTTGAAAACTTTTATTCCTCGCTCTTTGGGCATGGGCTCCGTCGCCGATTTGGTTCTTTGTGTGTGCATTACTCCTACAATAACAAGCAATATAATCATTGCACCAGAAATAATTACGAACCAGGACACCGGCTTGTATATTGTGGGAAGCGCAAGAGACCATACTCGCCTTGCCGCTTGTCCACAATGCACTTCGCTGCACTGCCAGCCGGAGGGGTGTAGCACAAACTCAATACCGTGTGCGCAAGTTCATTACCTTTACCTCTCGCTAGTTGCGCATTCGGAGACCCCTAAATGCACTAGTTTGTGGGATATGTAAAAACAAAATATAGTTTTCATTGATTATTCTACCCTATCATCAATTTATCATTTGACAAATTACCAAGTTTTGTCTTTATAAAAGTTTCCGTTAAGACGGCTGGAATAAAATTTCCCCTCTTTGAAATCTAGAAAATAGTTATCACCCTAAACCTGTCGTAAGTAATTTACCCCAAAGTGACCAAACTATACATTGTATTTTATATATAAGGTATCAATGGTCTGATTTAGTAAACTACTTCTATTTCTTGAAAGGTGTAGGGTTACACATGATGTCGTGTGGATCGCAGTAGTTTACAGTTCATACACAACATTTATGTGAACTTCAAAATTTCAAGTTTTAATCTGCAACCGTTCACATTGCATTATGTGCACTATCTTCTAGTGAAAATATTTTGCCACCCCACGCCCCTTCCCATCCCAGCGCCCTATTAGAAATGACATTGTCGGGTATATTCACCTAGCATTATAGCCTATATTACGATAATGAATGATTCTAAAATAGTTGATAAACAGGACGTTTGGATTAATTTGTTAGATTCATATCGTTGGATACAAGAACATGTATTCCGAATAGTTATGCGGTTCAATCCAAATGTAAATTAGATTAACTGTATTACAAAATCTAATGATTCGATTTTTTTCTTTCTTCTTTCTGTTAGGATATTGCTAATGACAGGACGTGGACAATATTTGTCATTATTTGATAAGTTGAATGAAAGTCTCAAAGCTTGCGAAGAAGGATTTTCTTTCTTTTTTCAATGATTTCGTTGATCCTCGGATCTACATTTTCTTTTCTCTGTCGGTCCCTTAACAACTGCTTTGCGATTTGTTCACGACTTTCAAACCAACTTTTCAATAGATGGCAGAAATTGGCTCGTCGTAATTGGGAATGCTTTTTGGAAGCGAATGTTTACCTACAAAACCGTTCTTGTTTGTTGACGTAGTACGCTAATAAATCCAAACATGGGAAAGAAGAGAGAAAAGGGAAAGGAAAGAGGAAAGAAAAGGGAAAATCTGTTCCTGAACACGCATTGTTCGTCATAATTCGATGTCGGAACTATGCTTTCCTATCCGCGCTGCCAAATGAAAATAACTTGGTCTTGTTGCGTCGTGATGTGAAAAGCCAAGAAAAACAAAACCTTCTCTCGCTTTTTAGCAATCATTATGCGGGGCTGAAGAAAGCTGAAAAAATGGAAATGTCGATCATCCTAAGGCAATGTTATTCGTGATTATTACTGACTTTTTATTCATTTTTCAGGGTGGTGGCATGGAATGAGGGTTTTCGAACTCTACCTACAGTGCACGTCCTAACTCGAAGGAGGTGCTAGCATTTCGTTTGTCAATCTTTCGCCCCCCCCCCCCCTCCAAACAAAAAGAATGTTTAGTAAAAGTTAAAAATATAGGCCTATACTACAGGCTTATACACTACTATCTATGTGGGAGAATTTAACCCCAGAGTAAATCAACTGTTCTGTCACCTTTATGAGATAGACAGGAGAGATAGTTTGAAATATTGATTATAAAATCTGCATCGGGAAAACGTTATATTTGTTGGGGCTCGGCATACGCTTTCTGCCAACGAGCCTATGCACATTTGTAAGTCTTGTAAAGAGAGGATAGGAGTGGCTTTGGGCGGTAAACAAAAGCGACACGGAGCAAATCGGAAATTAAATAGCAAGCTTATTGACAAACAGATTACGTTATCGATTAAAATACAGCGAAGGGAAGCAATTAAGCATTAAAGCCTTGGGAGCCTTCTGCGCTTGGGAGCCTCTGCGGAACAGTTTCATCCCTTTTATTGGAAAACTTTCAATCGCTCATGTTAGTCTAATCCGATATCCCTTATCCATCCAACGCCTCAATTCTTTTAATCCCTTCCCCCCACGAACCACCCAAACGGCGGTGCATGGGTTCCTTTTAAATCTCATTCAAAGAATAAATCTTTGAAATATATAATAGTGCTGCTCCACCAATCCTCGTTAAGAAAGTTAACTATTTATTTACGTATATTAAAATAAAACGGGGTTGTACTCAGTTTCTATATAGTCCTGTTGCACACTCTCCCTCTGATCTCTATCTCCATTTCTTGTAATAATCAATAAATCAATTAAAATGTAAGTCTTTGTTTGGACTATTTTGCTGTGAATTACATTTTCACATTACCTCGCTTATCTGTTTATCTCTCGCCGTTTTTTAATCGACGCCTTCCTGTTTTTGTTTAATGAACAAACAAACCGGTTATAATGTGACGCCTAGCACAGGAAATGTATCATAAAGAGATTGCGTTGGCGATTTAATTCAAGCGTTAAATATAGTTCCGTTTCCATTGTTTTCCTGCTCTATCTTTGTACAGTGTTGTACATGTACATGCTGTTTGCCGCCTTCTCCCATTTTTTCCTCTCCCTTCATTTTTACGAACGGAAAAGAAAAATCATTTATTTTAATTCTCGGCCACGCAGGAAATTGCATTCAGCCATTGTTGTATCGTTAGAGCGATTTGACTACCGGAAATGAAGGTTCTGGGGGTAATTTGCCTAATGGGTCTCGGCCGCTGTATGTGTGTTGCCAATTTAAGCATCTGTGACTGAGCGAACGATTGGCTCTGCTTGCAAATAAATGACTTTGAACGAGTACAATGCATAGCTCTGTCCGAACCTATTTACAACATGTACTCGCAGCGGCCAGGGTGGAATTGCGAAATGATAGTCCCTTTTTCAAACGGTATTACAGACTTCGTGACTACTTAGTTTTCAGCACGGTTGTTCATGCCGAAAATAACATGGGTTACTCTCCTGGAAATCTGGAGGAATCTGGTGATAATGTGTTTACAATGTCCTGCTGTACAACATGGGGGAAATGGGGGGGGGGGGGGGAGAAATATGAAAATAACCCCCTTTGCGCAAACATTTCCACACGACCATCAATTTCACCAGGGCAAGATATGCGATTAGAGATACGGAGCGGTCTTTTAATAGAAGAAAGATAAATATGACATTTATGAAGTGAAAGGAGTTCGTTTATTCATTCTTATGAATGTATTCTCTCAGATATATTTCATTCATTGCAATTGTTTTGAAATATCCTCATGCGTTGCCTCTGCATAATTTCGCGATAAATATTCACTCCCCCACCCATCTAGCAACCTTTTAGCCTATGACCCCAAATTCTTTAATATTCGTATCCCATAAAAGATTACCAAATCTATTATTTGTTTTGATTTCTTGTAAGAGTTGTCTCACAATCAACAAAAAAATGATGCCTTACATGCTTACGTATTCCTATCTAGTCAATATAAACCTTTTTTTCTTCATAATGTTCTCTTTTTTGTTCGTTCATGTATTCCACAACACTGCCACCGTTGTATTCACTTTTCTGTTTCTTTTTACACTTCGTGTATATTTTCAGTATATCACATAGAGTATAAACAAATTTGTAAAAGAGTTCATTTAAGCTATGAGAGAGTATGTAAAGATTTATATTCTGTGAAACTCATTAATGTGTTATACAACATATTGAAAAGTGTTATGGGGATGTTTTACCATGATCCTCTTATCGTTATACACGCTTGGTAATCTAAAATATGACACAGTCATGACAGCAAGGGGAATAGATGTTTTTCCTCTATGCATTTACTATTGAATTGCCTTCGGAAACGATGTGTTCAGACTTTTACAGTGCCTATATCATGTATTTCTATAAATTTCCTCACTTAAATTAATTTAAATTGCCAATAAATTCCGTTCAATAATGTAATCCGGTAGCAACCAATCAGTACTTGACTATAAAAAATTAACGACGTAAAACCCCGTCTGGTGAAATAAATACTTGTATGTAGTTAATGCAAAAGAGGGAAATAGACCTCCTCCTCCTCCGCTATTTTGTGAAAGCATTCCTGCGTTCGCTACTTCTGTAAACAAGTCCTCTTCAATTGTTTACAAAAAAAGAAAACCCTAATGTGGAATCAATTCACTCCACGTTTTGAACCATGCCGGGATTATCCATCGGTTAGCCGGGTGCTTTTTAAGGCTTCCACGCCTTTTCTATAAAGATCCAATAGAATTATACGTAATCATATAGCTTGGAGGAGGAAAGTTAGCCCGTCTAAATAAAGCCGAAAGGAACAAATATTTCCAAGATTGGTTGACAACTTTTCAAGTAATTGGCTGCCAATTCAACTCAGATAAAGGTGAAATCCCATTTCGGAAGAAGAACAAGAATGGTTGGAATTCATATATTATGCAGACCCAGTTTTCGCTGTCAAAAGCAAGACAAAGTTTTATCGAAATAAGAGCACTTAGAAGTAGGGGAAGTAGATGTGCACTACAGACAATTACAGTGTACATCATTTCAGTCATTGTATACATTTAACCAGCACACATTGCCTCATGAAAATGTAATAGGTTTCCAACTGTGTCATCACATTCATAACTTATCTACGACGCAAGAGGGCAGACTTTGTATTCAAGTTTTCTCGAAAGAATGTTAACGAGATGAAATATGAATGAATCGGAAGGATTTCGGATGAGAAACATCGAATACATGCATTTTGTTATTGTATTTCACTGGAAGAAACAGTAAGTTACAATGTAGCCCAGATATATGGATGAGAAATTGTCAATCGTGGAATAACGTTTGTATTTGGTTTAATATTATAGCAGTTTTATAACGATGTTAATAATGGTTTACAAATATCCACTTATTATGACTTAGAAAGGCACTGCCATCAAATGTTTGATTATTACTATTTGACCGTTTAAACAGTTCCATGTAAATGATTATGAATCAATTTTCTGATTAAAAAAAAACTTTCACTGTGGTAATAAGTGATTATTGAAACCCTCTTGGATTTTTGTGAAACATTTCATACATTTGTAAGGGATACGTGAAAAGAGATATTCTAGAAAAAAAAGGGTACTTTCCTGAATTTGATTTAACACCTCATGACATGAAAGCTATTATATTGGCATGTGCAGGAAGAATTGATTCTGATGTTTCAGGACTTTTAGAAATAACGTTTTTAATTTCATGCATATTTTACCACTCCGCCTATGTAAGGAAAGTGTTTTTAATTCACATTGATTTTAAACGTTATCACATGCTTTTTATGACCTTCCATGTGAAAATTTTAAATATCTGATCTGTCATCGGAGCACGATTGTTCATATTTAGTATTCACTTCGTCAAATCTTTTTAAGAGTTCATAATCATCGAGGCCTACATTGTATATTAATTGAATTTTATTACATTCAGTTGAGGCAAATATTTGACCGGATGTTTGGATATTTCAGATATTCTTTCACGTATAAAGTTTTAAAATGTAATGCAAATTTTTATCCATTTATTAGCCCGCTTTGTGATTGGTGATTTTGAAAAGTTGGAATTTCAACACAGTCGTGAAGTTATTTATCATGTATTCGATGTCATAAGGAGGAAATATTTGAAGTTCTATTTTATTATATTATTTATTTTCCAGGAAGGCATTAAATCTTGAGAAAATCAAATTAATTATTGACTTCATCGTTATCTATTGGCGTTATGGAGATTGCTGTGGTGAATGGAAGCTGGATAAGTGAACGAGTGAATTTGTGTTGGGAATAAATGGTAATGTCATAGAAATCGGTACAGACTTAGAGAGAGAAAGAGAGAGAGAGTCAGAGAGAGAAGAGAGAAAAAAAAGTGGGGGGGGGAGAAATTGGGAAAGAGGGGAGAAAGAGACTTTGAGAGAGATGTGAATAAGAGAGAGAGAGAGAGAGAGACAGGCAGACAGAGAGAGAGAGCGAGAGAAAGAATCATACTTGCGTGAATAGACCACTTCACGGTTAGCACATGTCCCAAATGACCCCGAATAACCAATATATATCCACAGATCTTCCAAACATGAAGAGGTCCCACTTTGTACATTTTGGAATAATCACTCCTACAAAGACTACAGTATAAATGGAGGTGCTACATAAATAGCCTTTGTTTCCCCTTTTCAAAGAATACTTCCACCTGTGTATCATGGAGTGCACTGCTTGTGCATAAATGAATAATGATTACATAACTTTCATGAGCACGTATTCAGTATTTTGTCTCCGTGTGTTTCACAATTTGGTCTGCTATGACCTTTATCTGCTCATGCTCAGACTGCAACTATGAACTGGTCATTATTTTAGAGGGGTATACATAATTATGGGTTGCTAAATCTTTCTTACAGCCCCCCCCCCCCCCCCCTCATCCCCAATCATCATTTGAATCATTATAGAAGACAGTAGGTCTAGGAATTTTATAATTAATAGGAAACCCATCTGGGACAAATTTAAACAAATAATGTCAATAACGTCTGATTGCCAGGACATGGGGGTTATCGGTTATGCAACGTTTTGACACATGCAAGTGATTTAGGTCTTTGAAGAAGATGGCGAAATGGTGGTGTTCAAAGAAATATTATGTTACATAGGCCAGAGACGTGTCTCTTCATTAGCCAAGTAAGTAGGGCCTATAATCTATATCCGGAAAAAATCACATATCTCGAAGATAATTACAGGGAAAACAGAATGATCTCTCATTCAACAAAATTAAATTCAAGGTGTTTCGATGAAGAAAAACTATTCCCATACATAGTCAGTTACCGAATCAGGCCTCTCCGTTTTTATTTTGATTGAATAATGTTTATAAAAGCTAGACAATGTTAATGACAAAAGCTCCATGTATATATTGCATACATTTCCATCCCAGGGGATGGATGCTCAATGCTTTTACTACACTGGATCTAGCCCAGCTACCCTAAGGCGCTGTATGCATTCCAGGAATAAACTCCTACCATGTATAAATTTACTACACCTGGATGGAGAGTGGCAAATGAACGGTGGCGAATGTTACTGAGATAATTATGACGAAACACCACTGGAAAGGGTTGGCCGAATTGAATTCGACCACATACAAAAGAAAGATAACACTTGCTTTCTCCAAAATTCCAATGAAATGAATGAAGCCTCCTTGCTGTTGTCAGTATTCACAGAAGATATTCGGGAGATCTAAGCTACAACCATAACAGTCTTCCTTATTAAAAAATATCTACACAAATGAAAAGTGTTACTCTTCTCTTTGTCCGAAACATTTGAGGACCTTGTCGTGGTCTAGAGGATACGTCACTGGACTGTGGATCATATGGTTCACGGTTCGAGTCCATGTGCTAAGGCTGCGACGGGTAGTCGAATGCTCGAGTACCCGCACGGTTGACAACTACTCGGGTACGATTTCTTGTACCCGAATATTCGGCCGCAAAAAAAATAAAAATGTCCAGGCCCACGCTTACCCGTGCCAGGGAGAGCGGCGTCCGCTGGCATGGTACCATCGGTAAAAATGTTTCCCAACTCAAGCACTGTCAAACTCACCTTTCAGAAACTGGGACCAAATGTCCAGATTTCTGTTTGGACTTGGAGGAAAATGGATTATTCTGCCATCTTTGGTTTTTAAAACAGCATTGTTTACTGTTATTATTCTTATTAAATCGGCGCCTTCAACAGCAACTCAAAGTAAAGTTGCATGCGTTTTCAGCGAGGGACCTGAGAAACTGCCGAGTGGTATGGTAGTGGCAAAAAAAGAAAAAAAAGGAAAAAAATAAAAAAATAAAAAAATCCAAAAAAAATCAAAAAAATTCAAAAAAATTCAAAAAAATTCAAAAAAATTATAAAAAACATGGCGTCCGAATATTCGAGTATTCGCCTGTGAGCCTGGGAGTGTACTCGGGTACCTCATTACACTGTTGTGCACAGCCCTACCATGTGCGGTACTTACGTCCTTGGGTAATACCATTTGTAATATTTCTTTGGTAATACACTCATCTACATTTGCCACTGTCCACCAAGGTGTAGGAACTTATTCCTAATGTTTTAGCGCGTTGGGGCAACTGTGCTCGGATTGCTTCAACCAGGGTAATACTACTACATTGTAGTATTATCATTATACATGTGCATCTGGTGGGATGGATACGTGCGCAATATTAATTTAGCTATAGGCCTATGTATTATTATTACTATTATTACCATTATGGCGCTTCAAACTCCGTGTAGCAAGCACTGGTGCTGGTGGATGCACGCCTCCTCCACATCATTCCATTGAGCTAGGCCTAATCTCCACGGCCTAATGAATGTACATGGCTATCCTACGTCTGTCTGTCAATTAGGTTAAGGGAGACCCTGGCTACCAATTAATCGGAGTGATGTGACGCCATGTTGATTAAAAACATCCTGACATGGTTGGGATTCCGGGAGGAGAGAGAGCGGGGGATGGATGATAGGGACCAGATGTAGCCGTGATGGTGGTGGAGGAGGAGGGGTGGTGGAGGGGTGTGGTATCGCTCCCCTCCCCCAACTCTTTGAGTTTGTTATTGACTGTCTGGTATTTAGGGGTAGGATGTGGTAAGGAAATAATGTTCATAATGATAAAGATGATGATGATGATGGTGGTGGTGGTGACGATGGTGCTGACGATGATGATGGTGATGACGACGACGATGATGATGATGATAATGGTGGTGGTAGTGGTGGTCGCGGCGCTGGTGGTGTTCAACGGTGCCGATGGTCATGACGATGATGATAGTGATGTCATTACGATATCGAGATGTGTGTTGATTGGGCTGATGCTCAGTGACGAAAAATATGACATTGTGTGCAATGAAGATAATCCTGAATATGTCAGAGCAGAATGAGTACGACTAACTTGAAGTTTCTTTTAGAGCTAGCAGCTTGTATTTTATTCCATTTTAAGATGCTAATAATACATTTAATTTTCACAATTTAACAACACTTTACCTCGATGAAACCTTTGAATTTAATTGGATTAGCTAACGACTTATTAGACAGTGATATCGCTGAATCAAAAGGGTGTTTTGTTTGTCGTTTCAGCTTTACCAATAATTATATACTTATTGTTGATTTCTCCATAGGGCCCATGTATGACTACAGCATACATTGTTTTCTCAGTTTTCCCTTTTTACCCGTTACAAGCTAATTATCGGCCATTAACCTGGGTTAACCATAATTGAACAGGAAGTCGCCCCAGAGAGCGATGGGGGCAAAAACCTAGACATTCACCCCTTCTCTCTCTCTCTCTCTCTCTCTCTCTCTCTCTCTCTCTCTCTCTCTCTCTCTCTCTCTCTCTCTCACTCTCTTTTTTCTTCACATCTTCACAGGGATGCCGCCCAGGTATAAAGCAGGGAGGTTAACTTGTGCTAGTCTATCAAACGCAGCCCACGATCTTGCTGATTTTTGTTCTAACCAGTCACCTGAAATTAGATATTCGAACATTCTTGAATTTCTGCGGTATCTTGGTCTGCCTATACTTTAACAGATTCAATTAAAAACCGAAAAGCATGAATATGTTTTTCTATTTTTCCAACATAAAATCGAAATCAGACTTTGACTTTTGCGAGAAATGGTCTGTCTTTCACGTGTTCCTACATTTATTAGAAAGTAAGATCTGGACGATTTTCCCCAATTCAGATCAAAGCAACATCTGTTGTCTTATAATAGTTTTCACATCTTATAGAAGTAATCCATACCAAATATAGAAAGGGGTATTTTGTGTAAAGAAGACTTTAAATAAATAAATAAATAAATGATACAACTTAGGAAGAAGGCCGAGAATCCCGCTAAGCAAGGAGTTTGGGATGGGTATACGCCTGAATCGGTTGGCATACATATTACAAGCAAAATCATGATCAAATAGACATACCGATTCCATTACATTGATGCATCATCATATTTAACCCAGTCAAATTATGATTCTTTTATATCAATACTATCACCAATACCGCCAATGATATTACAATACTACCACTATAGTAGCAAAACACACCGATGGTTGGCGATGTGTGTTGTCGAATTCTGTCTGAAAAACTATACTACATCAGAATTACTTGTTCAGGTGTGTTATATTCGACTTGTCGTATAAAAAGAAAACCACATTTTATTATAATCGCTTCGTATGTAGTTTTTGCACGTGGGCTTGAGGTTTTACCTTATGTTTGTGCATGTGGTCACGGTTTAGTCTACACACAAATCCTTTCCTCATTACAGCCGAAAATATTTAGAGAAAGAAAATGGCACTAAATTCATTATAATCTAGAAATACATGACAATGCATGAGTTTTTATGGGCTAATTTCATATTTTAAATTGATGTCTCCTAGTCAACTCTCACAAAGCACGTTTCATGAGGACTAGTCTCTGTTCCGGTCTCCACTCTTAATGACTGCCGGTTAACATAAAATACTCAAAAAGTCTGTGCATACAGACTAAACCTGAACTGGTGGGTAATACCTCCGGAAGTATACCCCCACCAAACAAAGCCCCAGTATACCCCATGCCGCCCTGGGTATTTTCCCTGTCTCTCAAAACATTGCCCAGTTTTGACCCTTTCCTTTTTCTTTCTATGCTGACTGTCGTAATGAAAGCACTAAAAAAAACTCAAATTGGCAGCATAACTGCACATGTTGTTTTTGCAGGCGAATTTCCGTGG